TTTTTTTTGTCTAGACGTACAAGTTCTATAGAAATAATTGATTTATTATATGTATCACGTGCATCGCACGTGGTATGCACTAGTTGTTATAATACATTTAGTACTTTTCAACTAATTAATTGTTCATGATCCCTCAAAATTACAAAAAATTACTTAGTACATTTTATACAATCAATATAGTGATTCATGTGGAATCAAATTGGTATGTACTGTTTTATTTAACCAATGATCAAATATTAAAAAATATATCATTATCTAACTTATAATTTTAATATTATATGCATAAAATAACTTATAATACTTTATTTACATCTGAGAAAATGCACATGGTCGAATACTTGTTTTCTTTTAAAATGATTACCAAAATTAAAAAATTCTAGTTCATTGAATTTGATGATACACATAAGTTTCTAAACAAAATGATTGCCCAAATAAAATAATTCTAATTTATACTAAGTAGATAAAAGATTTCCCTGCTCTTCCAAATAAATAAAATATGAGAGCATGCCTTCTTTCTGTAAAAGAATGATTGACGTCTATTATATTTTTAGATGCTCTCAAATCTATACTGAACCAATTTACCATAATAAATAAGAACTATATAATCTATTTTGAGTGTATACAAGATTCTTTGTTCTCCCTGTTGTTTGTGTGGTTAATAAATATCAAGAAAATGGCTTAAAGAGAATGAAGAAAATAAATGCAAAATCAAAGTTGAGGCACATAATAGTTATTTTCTCCTTAAAGACAAATTGCCCCATAAAATACACACGGTTAAGGGCAAACACCACCAAAATACAATGACTTTCGACTTGTATATAGCGGTATTTCTAATATACAAACCTTTGGGGAACAATACTATTGTTTGGAACTCTCGAGACTCAGTAAAAAAATCACTGAATGCAATGTGCTTTGTGGTCCTTGAAAATGTAATTGAAGAGCTTTTGACTTTTCCAAGTTCTAAATGATTTTATGAATGTGGGACGTGCTTGAACGAGAACAAATGCATCTAGAGGCCAAAAGACACCTTATGGTCACCAAGGGTCGCGACCTTTCGTTGGTTGTGGCATGCTGCGCATTCGTGCACTGCAGGCTCGTACGAGCTCATCTGGACTCAGAATCGAGTTCTGTTTTTCCTACTCGTCCATAACAAACACTTCTAGAGTTATAGCATTCAAGTTGCATGATCAAGTTTCATTGGATTATCTTAACAGTGTCAAAGACAAAATGTTTTGCGAATCCAATAATTTGAGTTACTTAAACTCAATTGCTTCAACCTTACATTTTGCAAATATACTATTTAGATTAATTTCTCTACACCTTAAAAAGGTTTTGAGAATTTTATGTCTTACACTTGCAAAAATGAAACCGTTAAATCGATATAAACTTATTTTTCTTTCAATTCCCCACATGAAAAAAATTATTGCATGTATGCAATACTTGAGAGTCCAGATGAACCGTCATTGCAACTAGATACATCTCTTATGGCTTGGAATTTTTATTAGTGAAATACTATCGAATATACTAGCCAGTTAGTAGCACGATGCTTTGAACTTACCGACTATTTGTATGCACCACGACAATAGTACTTACACAACAACTCCTACAAACTAATTAGAGTTTTGGGGTAAAAATAATCCATTTACCCAATGACTCGCAACTGGATGTCGAGGTCTACGTTGATGATATCATGATCATTAGTTCGAGCTGCAGTGACATTAAGTTGTTCAAAAAGGAGATGGTAGTTGCGTTTAAGATGAGTGACCTCGACCTAGTTCACTACTACCTCGACATTGTGAAGCAGAGCACGAGAGAAATCTCGCTCAACCAAGGCACCTATGCTGGCAAGATTGTGGAGAAGAGGGGCATGGTTGGGTGTAATCCCTGCCAAGTGACTATGGAGGCACGACTGAAGTTGAGAAAATTTTGTTTGGAGCCGACAGTCGGCCAGACAACGTAAAGGAGCATCGTCGGGAGCTTGAGGTTAATACTCGCCCTGATATGGCTTTTGTTGTTGGCTATGTTAGTTGGTTCCTAGAGGAGCCACGTGACGATCACCTTGCCATCATGAAGCAAATTTTGCGTTACGTGGCAGAAACCCAGAATTGGGGACTCTAGTTTGACAGGAATGAGTCGAAGAAAACTCACTTGACGGGTTTCAATCAGAGCGATTACGTTGGGGATGTTGATGCTAGCAAGAGCACAACATGGTTGATTTTCTTCCTGAACAACATCCCGATCACTTGGCAATCCATGAAGAAAAAGGTGGTGGCAAAGTCAAGTTGTGAGGCGGAACACATAGCAGCTTCAAACACTTGTAGTCAAGCATTGTGACCCGCTCGTGTGTTTGCTGAAGTGCAGGGATCATCACCAAGAGCGCCAATATTGAGGGTAGACAACAAGTCTGCCATTGCCCTAATCAAGAATGCAGTACTCAATGGACAGAGCAAACATATTCGAGTGAAATATCATTTTCTCCGAGAGTCTGCAAAGAAGACTTTCCATCAGGAGGAGTGAAGAACAACTAGGAGACATTCTAACGAAGCCGCTTAGTAGGACCAAGTTTCATGAACTATGCTTTAAGATCGGCCTGATCAATGTCAACAATGTGCACCAGTCTTAATAAGAGATTGTAGGAAATATTCCATATTATATATTATAGGATATAATCCTTGTGTACCTAAATTAGGTATGTGTTTTCCCTAATTGTTTTCTTATATTAGTTGTGATGTAGGGAAGCATACGAGTGAGACGACATTAATAAGATCTCAATATCAAGAACACCTAAACATTATATCAATTCATATTTTATTCAAAATCCACCACCAAAATAAATTAGAATGAGCCCTCTATATAAGGTCCCTAACTCTAAATCTAACTTGTCCAATAAGACAAGATCTCTTACTAAATATTAAATAATAATAATAATAATATTAAATGTAAATAATAATAATAAGAATAATACCTTATAATTATATGTCTTAATACTAATATTATATCTGCATCATTTTTCCCCGGTTCAGAAGGTTTCGCCCTCGAAGCCGCACCAAACGCGCCGACACAAGAGTCGTACCCATGGAACCCAATGTCCGTCGTTTCCCCCTTATCGAACACGAATGTTGAAGGTCGTCCAATAGTTTCGATGGTAAAGATAATGTTATGCAAGGACTTAACTGCAGAAAAGGCAATTGTACAAGACCCCTTACTCATAAACCACGCAGCGAAATTAACACCATAAGTACCACATTGTCTGTCGTGCTCAAATCCTCAATTACAACCAAACACTCTATTGTTGAGAGACTTTGGTAGAGACAATCAGAAAATGTCCCGACAACTATTGAGCCCCGACATCGGCTCCAAAAAACCATTGATGGCCAAGATACTATGAAAATGGGGTCCGACAGACAGTCTATTTGAAGGTACAACCTCTGCGACGTTCCATGTGGGGTTATTATCACCGAAAAAAAGTTTCTCCGTCACAACAGGCTCGTCACAAAAAATGGGCGGACCGCCGTACAATTGTCCGTTAATGTGCTCGTCGTCGAATTTGGGATGTCAACGCGAAACGGGCCTTCCCATCGACCATAGTCACGATCAAATTTTGTTTTCACAAGCACAAATTCTTCAGCTCTTTAACAGGCCCAAAAAAAAGTTACCAAAATCTGCACCCACACAGAACTCGCGCCTGGCTTACTCCCACGGAGGCCCAAAATCGTGACCAACACCTGTGAAATATGTTGCTTTCCATGGGTCTTTTGTCGCCAAAAATTTCACGTCGCGCCGCTGCTGCCATTCTCTTGCGACACCGTCGCGGTGTAGGTTTCAACCCCGCCACAGATGTTCGTCATCAAAGTACGTTGTGTCGGGCCCGACATTATAATTGTGTCGCTGCTGGTCGAACCCCGCGAAGTCGGTGTCATCATGTTCAAGTCCCTAATCGCGTCAGGCACGATATCCACCGGCTAAGGCAGCCTCCTCGCGCCTGCCTCTATTGTCGTGTTGATCATCGTCGTCCATGAAGACCGGGCCCCTTCGCCGCATGTCACGACCGTCGTATGAGCGAAGGGGTCAGCCTCGACGTGCGGGGGTGGATAATCCCCGAAAGGATTAGCATCCGAGATTATCTCCTCACCATCGTCGTCGACGGGCGGTGGTTGTGGCGATCGTCGGCGGGGCCCCCTACCCGGACCACGGCCTCCACGCCCTCTGTGAACTCCCTCGCGCACGCCCTGGTCGTCAGCGTCACGGTTCATCTACAAATCCCCAACCACGTTGTTGATCATGAGGCGCAACTCATCGATACTCGATGTCAGATCCGTGAATCGGTTGTTGATCTGTTGAAACCGGTCATCCATCCGGTTCAAGTGATCGTCAATAGCGGCATCACGATGTCTTGGCAGCATCGTTGATCGTAGCTGGTCTCTAAATACTAACTGATATAGGGAAGCGTACGACTGAGAGGATATTAATGAAATGGCAATTTCAAGAACACATAAACACGATATTAATTTATATTTTATTTAAAATTCACCACCAAAATAAAGGAAGCCCTTGATATAAGGCTCTAACCCTAAACCTGACTTGTCTTATAAGACAAGAATTCTTACTAAATATCGAATAATAATATTAAATGCTAATAATAATAATAATACTAATAATTATATTCCTTAATACTAACATTATATAAAGTTGTGACTTTTTTTCTTGATTATAGCTTTAATGTAATCATGATTTGTGCCCGCATGAGTTGTATTTTGTCTTTTGTGTTTTAGTCATGATCTCGCCGATAACCTGGTGCCATCTCCGGTGAGTTTTTAACA